TATCCGGTATTTTTCATCATTTTTGTCATCTCTAGCGGATCATCCTTACAAATCGTGCAAATCGTGCTTTTCATTTCACGATTTCTTTGGCGCCTTGTTCTCAGTTCTCGTTTTCAGAGCATTTGTGGTACAAATCCGACAACACCCTTGCTGAAGCGTGGGTGGGGCGGGGTCGGGCGAGGTGCACCACGCGTCCCGTCCATATGGGCGGTGCTCCAGGCGCCCGGCCACGCCCCACGAGGTCACTCAATGCACCTCGCCTGCTTCATTATTCCAGAAATGGCACCTTTTCTCCTTCCCAATGGCTGCTCCGGCTCGCGGCCGGACCTATTTGCATTCACTGTGAAAAATCGGGTGTTTGTTCCCCCACCCATGCAACCCATTAGGCCCGATAATTTGGGGGAAAATGAAATGGCTTTAGTGAAATGCGCGCTCTTTCTTTCTTTCCTTCGTCCTTTCTTTGTTTGCGCCTTGATGGTCGTCCGGGACGCGCAGTGCTGAGCCCACACACGCCACCCAAACGCTTCGCAAATGAACAGCTCCGACCACATGAGGGTAAGGTGTAATGTAGATAATATCACCTTACATGAGGGGGGGGGAGACTACTGTGCACAATCAGTCTTGATCGACAGTTTTACAGTTTTAGCGTCCGACCGTGTGGAGTAACAGTCATAGATATGTAGGCCTACTCTTCAAGTCACCTAAACACACCCGAAAGGTCTTGTACACGTTCATGTTACCTCCTGCAGAATTCAAGAATTGTGCACACCTGGGATAGGAAAGTTAAACTTGTATACTTTCTAACCATGGTCTAACATTGCAAGGAAATTGGAGAGGGGGGGGGGTACACGTACACGCTAATTTCTGCTTTATTTTCTAGGAGTATCTTGAAGTCTCGAAGGCTCCTCCTGCTGGTCGAGGACGGGTGCTAGCGCTGTCCTTCCGGCTGCTCTGCTGCCCTGACTCATGGCGTCATGGGCGTAGCTAAAGGCAGCTAAAGGCAAAGGCGTATGTAGCTAACCGCTGGGCGTCCTCGCCGCCAGCGTTCTGCGGCCGCCCCGTCCGCGAGAGCCTCTGACAGCTTCTCTCGACGGGACGGGTCATTCGGAGGCTGGGCCGCTGAGCAGCAAGCTGCTATCTCTGATCGAGGATCTGACTCGGGGTCCTCACCTCGCGCTACTGCCTGCCTGCCTGGCCGTATCATTGACCTTGCTCCGGCCAAGCAGCCGCTCGATCAAAGATAAAGTGGGGTGGCAGCGTGTGTTATTGCCGCTGCGAAATGCGGAAGTTTAGAAATTCTCTCTCTCGTTCTCTCACCTTTCACTCTCTCACCAACCACCACCGCCCCGTTGTACAACGAATGCTGTGTAGTTATATTCAATCCAATGTCGGGTACCTAGAGCCACCGCCACCAGCCACATCTCTGCTGTAGCCAGGCCATGGCTTGTATCGCACGCACGCGTGCGGGCGGGTTGCCTACTGGCTCGGGCGCTCGGGCCGCAAGGCGCCGCATGGTCATGGTCAGAGACGATATGTATAGGATAGGAGGCAACTATACCCGCAATCTATGAAAAAAATCGCAACATTTTTTGTTGTTTCATTTTCTGCGCAGGGTACGCCCCACAACCGCCCCGTTACTCCCACCGCCACCTTGTGTCAAGTTGACGTCGCGCGACATGGAAAATGGACGGCTATTAATAAACTATGCCAGCCGGAGTGTCCCGCTACTCCAGTCAAGTTGAGGAGGGGGGGCGTTCTCTCTCACTCGCGCAACACGCACATCATCGTTGTGATGTTATTTTAGCAGAATATATGTGCATGGGAAAACGTGCGGCGGTTTGAGTTATCACCGCCCAGCCACATTATTTATACGCAAGAAGAACAATCGCGGGGTTTTCAATCCAAACCTTTCTTTAATAATTCCTTCTCGATATGAGAAACGTCGAAGACGATACTCTGGCTACACCGCGGAGAGCAAAACTCCCAACGCTTTGGCGCGCTGCGCTGTTGGTGATCGTCTGTTGCCGCCGGGAGGGAAGGACACAACAACAACAACAGCGCCGCGGATAAAGAGCTCGCCCTCAGCCAACCTATAGGCGTGGCGCCGCGGCGCTGTAACATGCACTAAGGACGAGAAGCGCGCGCCGACGCTGCTGGCGGGGCGTGCTAGCGCAGCTCGGCGGGACCATGTCTTATTTGGTGTGAGGGTGTTACGTAAACACGGGGCGGGCATGGTCCGCGTGCGCGACCGCGCATGGACTTCCGAGCAACAATCGTGCACGTGCGCGGGAAGGGCAGCAGGGCGCGCGGCGCGCCAAGCTAGCGCCAGCACACCGCGCGGGCACACAAGCGACAACATACTTGTGCATGCCCTCTACTCCCCTCGCTTGCGATTTGCTTGTGTTGCTGCCTCTGCTGCTACACTCGGTTGCTCGGGGG